ACCTTTCCTCGTAAGACCTTCCCTCCATTCCAGGCAACATCCTGGTAAATCTCCTCTGCACCTTCTCCAACGCTTCCACATCTTTCCTGTAATGAGGTGACCACAACTAGACACAATACTCCAGATGTGGCCGAACCAGGCTTTTGTATAGCTGAAGCATAACTTCACGGCTAACACACCATACACCTTCTTAATAACTCTATCCACCTGGGTGGCAGCTTTCAGGGAACTGTGAACATGAACTCCAAGATCCCTCTGCTCCTCCACAATGCCAAGAATCTTTCCATTAACCCTGTATTCTGCTTTCAAGTTTGTCCTTCCAAAATGAATCACCTCATACTTTTCAGGATTAAACTCCATCTGCCACTTCTCAGTCCAGCTCTGCATCCTATCAATGTCCCTTTGTAACCTAGAACAGCCCTCCGCACTGTCCACAATGCGATCCACCTTCGTATCGTACGCGAACTTGCTAATCCACCCTTCCACTCCTTCATCCAAATCATTTACAAAAATCACAAATAGAAGAGGACCCAGAACAGATCCTTGTGGTACACCACTCGTAACTGAGCACCATGTTGAATATTTTCCGTCCACCACCCTTTGTCTTCTAAGGGTCAGCCAATTCTGAATCCAATCTGCCACATTTCCCCCTATCCCATGCCTCCTTACCTTCTGCATGAGCCTACCATGGGGAACATTATCAAATGCATTACTTAAATCCATGTATACCACATCCACTGCTCTACCTTCATCCACGTGTTTGGTCACCTCTTCAAAGAATTCAACAAGGTTTGTGAGGCATGATCTACCCCTCACAAATCCATGCTGATTATCACAAATCAAACTGTGCCTTTCCAAGTGATCATAAATCCTGTCTCTCAGAGCCCTTTCCAATAATTTGCCCACCACTGAAGTAAGACTGACTGGCCTGTAATTTCCGGCGTTATCCCTGTTCCCTTTTCTGAGCAAGGGAATAACGTTTGCCTCTTTCCAATCTTCCGGCACTATACCCGTGGACAGTGAGGACGAAAAGATCATTGCCAAAGGCCCTGCGATCTCGTCCCTCGCTTCCCATAGAATCCTTGGATAAATCCCATCAGGCCTGGGGGACTTATCTACCTTCAACTTCCTCAGAATTCCTCGTACATCTCCCTTACTAACATCAACCTCCTCTAGCCTACCTGCCTGTTTCACAACGTCCTCCTCTACAACTAGGTCCCTCTCAGTTGTGAATACTAAAGAAAAGTATTCATTAAGGATCTCTCCTATCTCTTTAGGCTCTGTGCACAAATTCCCTTTACAATCCTTGATCGGCCCTACCCTTTCTCTGGTCATTCTCTTGTTCTGCACATACGTGTAAAAAGCCTTGGAATTTTTCTTAATCCTAGCCGCCAGGGTTTTCTCATGCCCCCTTATAGCTCTCCTAAGCCCTTTCTTCAGCTCCTTCTTGGATAACTTGTATCCCTCTAGAGCCTTTTCAGTTCCTCTTTTCCTAAACCTTACATAAGCATCCTTCTTCCTCTTAACCAGTTGTTCGACCTCTCTCGAAAACCATGGCTCCCTCACTCGACCGCATCTTCACTGCCTGCTAGGGACAAACATATCGAGCTCATGCAATATGCATTCCTTAAACAATCTCCACATTTCTAAGTGTATGCGTACACTTACCGGTCACAGAGGGGAAGAAAATGCCAACCAGGATGGTGAAAGAGGCGGTGATGTCTGCGAACACATACGGAAACTTGTTGCTGGTGGAACCATGGACATCAGTCGAGGGCATGGAAGATTTCTCCACAATCTGACCTTTCTCCGGATAATGACTCCAAAAGTTCTCTGTGTGGTCAGAGAGGAGAGAGGCAGAGAGAGAGAGAGAGAGAGGCAGAGAGAGACAGACAGACAGACAGAGAGAGACAGACAGACAGAGAGGCAGAGAGAGAGAGAGACAGGCAGAGCGAGACAGAGCATGAGAGAGAGGCAGAGAGAGAGAGTGAGAGAGAGGCAGAGAGAGAGAGCGAGCGAGCGAGAGAGAGAGACAGAGACACAGCGAGACAGACAGAGACACAGAGATAGAGAGAGGCAGTGAGAGAGAGAGAGAGCGAGACAGTGAGAGAGAGAGAGAGAGAGAGCGAGGCAGTGAGAGAGAGAGAGAGCGAGGCAGAGGCAGAGAGAGGCAGAAACAGAGAGTGAGAGAGGCAGAGAGAGAGAGGCAGAGAGAGAGACAGACAGACAGAGAGGGAGAGACAGACAGACAGAGA